ACAACTTCCAGCCTCAAACCTCAAACCTCGATATATCTATATATATATATATATATCGAGAGAGAGAGAGAGATAGGAAGAAAAAAACGTGCACGTCAAAAGTGCATTGGCAGCCTCGAATCTCAAACCTCAAACGTACGAAAATCTCGAACCTCGAACCTCGAGCGGCACAGCGGTGGCCGGCGCAGGCGCGGAGGGCGCCAGCGCGGCCGCCGCGGCAGGCGCGGCCGATGGGGCGGCGGCGGAGGAACCGCCGCTGACGCCCGAGGAGGAGAGGCTCCGGCCGCGCAAGCGCGCGGGGCTCCGCGAGTCGTTGGGAGGCAGCATCGCCCAGGAGGCCTCCCAGACGGGCTCAGAGTGGATGACGATTCATTGTCTGTGCGTGTTTTTTCCCCCGAAAAAGAACGACTCGCACCCCGACGCCAGGCTGACTAGCAAACGCATCCAAGGCAAGACTCGAACAGGGCAGGGATGTTTAGTAAACGCCCAGGGCCCTTTAGCAAACGCCAGTAATGGGGGTCGGGATGTTTGTCCTCCCTAGACAGTGGGGCTCGGTTCGACGATGCCTCGCCGATGCATCGGCATGCATCGACGCATCGGCGACGGCGGCATGGAGAACCACACCGAGCGGTATCGCCGATGCATCGGTGATGCTGCGCCATCCTTCGACCGTATGATTCTCCCCGAAAATAGAGGGAAAGATGGGAAGTGGGGGGGATGACAAAAACTCAGAAAATATAGGAAAGTATGGGGATCCTGTTATTTGTGTCTGTTTATTTGTGTGTCCCCGGGCCCCTTCATTTTTGCCCTCTACAACGGGCCATGGTATCGCAGCCCCACCAGCCCTCCCCCTTTGGGGACACGGCCCCGTGAAAATCGACGGGAGCAGCATAGATCCCCGCCCGGGTGGTAAGTCGGCCAGCGGGGCCAAGGCCACGCCAGTGGCCATGCCAGTGGGGCCCAATGCCAGCGGGGCCCAATGCTAGTGGGGCCCGATGCCAGTGGGGCCAAATGCCAGTGGGGGCCAGCCACCCCCGTGGGGATACGGTCAGGAACTTTGGCTTGCGTGTCGCTCCGCCAGTCCTGGCCCCACACGCTTGGGAGCGACACGCTATCCACGTCCTCACCCCCGAGCGTTAATGTCCCGAGCCTCTCCCAGCCCGCCCGCCCCGCGGGGCGGAGCGGCACGCCATCTGCTTGCAAGGCACGGCGTATCGCCAGGGCCGCCGCCGCGACACGCAGAGCAAAACTTCCTGACCGAAGGCCCCGTGAAACCCGATGGGAACAGCATATATGCATATGTAGGTATGCACCCACCCAGGGGGGTAAGTTGGCCAGCGGGGCCAAGGCCACGCCAGCCGGTGGGGATTGGGATCGGTTAAACGAAACTCGGGGAGGCGAGCAGCGGAGGGTCAGCGCTGGCGGGGATCCGAGGCTGCGGCCGGCCCAGGCGCGGCTCCGCGAGCCGTCTTGGGGCGCGCAGCGGTCAGGGGCTCCTCCTCCTCCTCCTCCTCCTCCTCCTCCTCCTCCTCCGCCTCCTCCTCCGCCTCCTCCGCCTCCTCCGCCTCCTCCGCCTCCTCGCTCCTCCTCGGGTCGCTCCGCCGGCTCAGGCCCTCCACGCCTCGGAGCGCCGCGCTGGCCACGTCCCGGCCCCCAGGCGTCAGCGCCCCGAGCTTCGCCAGAGCGTCCCGCCCCCCCGTTGAGCAGAGCGGCACGTTGGCCGCTTGCAGGGAGCAGCGCTTCGCGGGGACCGCCGCCGCGACACGCTAAGCAAAAGCTCTCGACCGTAGGCCCAGGGTCAGGAGGGAAAAAACACACAGACACAATTGAAAGCACAGACACAATTCATCGCCGATTCCCAAGAAAATATGGGAAAATATGGGACGTGGCGGGGAAGACACAAACCCTGGGAAAGTATGGGGAATCTTGTTACCTGTGTCCATGTATCTGTGTGTCCCAGGGCCCCTTCACAGGGGGGATACGTTCTCGGTTGTCGGGCGTTCTCGTTGGTTCTCGGTGGTGTTCCCGCCTCGTGATGCTCTCCAGCGGCCGGGCCTCGCCGAGGGCGGCACTCCGTGGGTGGCAGGATCGATCGTCCCGAACGGCCGCCCGAGGGCCGCAAACGCGCGGCAACGTCGGGGGGGGGGGGGGGGGGGGGGCATCGACCCCCAATCGCCTATTGATCGTCGGCAGGGGCCCGACAGCCCGCCCAAGTTCATGGATCGCCCATCCGTCGCCTGTCGCAGCGGGAGTCCCAGATCTCCCCCGAGATGCTGGCGTCGCAACTTGTTTGCAACAGGCGAATGTGCCTTGCTTCGGGCCCGGGGCCCTCACGAGTCGATCCGGGCTGAAAAAATGCAGCAGAAAGATGGGGTCCAGGGATTTGGTCGAGATTGTTTTGTGATGCTGCCATTTGTTCGTGACGTCGGATCTTAGGGTTCGAAGATATTGTTTAATCCCGCCGTGCTTTTTTTTCGATTTCGGTCTCCTGGGCCAGTCATCGGACCCAAGGGCCATCGAAAATGGATCCGGGAAGCAAAACTACCCGCGGATGAGGGGTTCGGGTTTCTGGGGTCTCGCATTGAACAAATCAGATTGGAGGATGTTTGGGGTCAACGCTGACAGGCGTCAGGGCTCGAGGATCGAAGGTTTTCGGAACGTTTCCGAAGACTTTCTTATATGTCTGTGGACATTCCGCACCAGCGGTGGTTTCCAGCAGCCACGTATCGTCCAGAGCGTCCCGAGCTCGGCCCCGAAAGCCAGAAGCGTGAACGTAACAGGTGTCAGCGCTGGCAGGGGGGGCGCCGCTCCCCCCTGGGTGATCCGGGTTTGGGAGCCACGTGGGGCCGATCGACCTCCCCGCCCTCCACTGCCCCAGCCCTCATTGAAGCGTCGAGGGCCGCGAATAATGCCTGGCACCTTCTGCCGTAATATCCATAACGTATCGCTCGTGTGCTGGCACGGTTCGCGTGCGTGACGTGGCACGACGAGGGACCGCCAAGAACGGGCTTCGGCCTGGGAGCTCTTTCGCGGCCGGCCGAGGCTCCAGACACGGCCCAAGCTGGCCTGGGGCCAGCGCCGATCCAGTTTAGCGCGTCAGCTCAGTATCGTTTAACCGACCCCCATCCCCATCCCCATCCCCTTCGAGACCCCCACCAAATGACCCCCCCAGTTGGGGATACACCCTCGAAACCCGAAGAGAACGGCCTATATCCCCATCTAGGGGGGTAAATCGGCCAGTGGGGCCCAGGCCTTGCCGCTGGGGATAGGGATCGGATAAACGATGCTCATCAGCGGAGTCGGGTGTTGGCCAGGGCTTGCCCTTGGCACCAAGGTGGGTTGCCAGTGCGCTCGGGCATTCTAGCTTGGTGCTGTCGTCGTCGGCTGTCCGAGCGGCGTCGTCGTCGGTTGGCCCGGGCGGTTGGACCGCAATGGGCGGGCGGACCCCAACGGGAGGGTCGGGCGGTCGGGTCGGGCAAGAGACTGCACGGAAATGTACCTTTCGAGTCGGGCGCTGGCCAGAGGATCCCGTGAAGCAGAGGGGTCCCGAGGGAAACGGGTCCCGGAGAGCTTTTTCGCCGCTCTCTGGCTCCAGGAGCCCCACCCCCAGGCCCCAGAAGGTCAAAATTGTTCAGGGCTTAATCATGTTCCTGGGGAGATCTAGGGCCACGAGGGTGCGAAGCTCGTCGAGCTCCGCGCCTCGCGGCCTGGGCGATCTCGGAGCGAGGCGCGAGTCCCTCCTCCTGTTCCAGGGGGGCGGCGGCGCGGAAGCGCGAAGGTAGTTGCCCTGGGGAGAGCTCCCGCTTCTGGGACCCGTTGTCTTCCAGGCGCTTTCTTCATGATACCAGGCGATCACAGACAGAGCTGGCCCTGGCCCTGGCCCAGAGCGTCAGGCGATCGCAAACATGGATCAAGGGGGCGTGGCTTAGCGACGGGTCCCGTGTCTATGGGACAGCGCAGATTTCCGTCGCCGAGCGAGGCGGCACCGGCCGCCTTTTGGGGAGGGCACCTCCCCCGGCCCATGGATGTGGCGACCGCGATCCAAATCCATGGATCGCCAATCCATGCTTGCGCGCCCCCGAGAGCGGCCCTGGGCGTTAGAGTAGCACCGGGAGGCCACGGGTGACCTCCAGAGAGTACCCCATCACGAGCCCTGGAGGACCCCACGGGCTCCCAGGTGGCGGGAAAAGCCAAGGGCACCTTGGGCCAGGAGCACCGCTGGCAGCAAGTCACACGCCCCTCCTCCTCCATCCTCCTCCTCCTCCTCCTCCTCCTCCTCCTCCTCCTCCTCCTCCTCCTCCTCCTCCTCCTCCTCGCTCCTCGCTCCTCGCTCCTCCTGCTCGTCCCCCTCCTCCTCCTCCTCCTTCTGCTCCTCCTCCTTCTGCTCCTCCTCCTCCCCTCCTCCTCCTTCTCCTCCTCCTGCTCCTCCTCCTCCTCCTCCTCCTCCTTCTCCTCCCTCTCCTTCTTCCTCCTCCTCCTCCTCCTCCTCCTCCTCCTCCTCCCTTCTGCTCCTCCTCCTCCTCCTCCTCCTCCTCCTTCTCCTCCTCCTGCTCCTCCTCCTCCTCCTCCTCCTTCTCCTTCTCCTCTCCCTGCTTCTCTCCCTGCTCCTGCTCATGTATCCTCCTCCTACTCCTGCTCATCTCTCCTCCTCCTCCTCCTCCTCCTCCTCCTCCTCCTCGTCCTCCTCCTCCTCCTTGTCCTCCTCCTCCTCCTCCTCGTCCTCCTCTTCCTGCTCCTCCTTTTCTTTCATCCTCCACCTACCCCCCCTGCCATCGGATTCGGGCGTCGCCAAAAAAGCAGTGACGGTCAGTTGTTATACGTGCCTCGGCCTCCAGTGACGGTCTCCCATTTTCGGGCCCGTCAGAAAACGAATATGAAAAAGCCAGCCCTGGGGATGGGATCGATATCCCCGAGGGCCCACGGCACAAAGAACATGCGAAGTCGCAGTAGTTTGTGCTGCTCATCCCTCCTCCTGGTTTCCCTTTGCCTTCGCCTCAGAGGAGAGGGTCCGGTCGGCCTTGGTGCGGTTCTACAAGTCTCGCAGCACCGACAAGCTGGGCAACGTCGACCGCATCGCCCGGCGCTACCGAGGCGACAATGTGGTCGATCTATGGGCCGCGTTGGGCATCAAGTGCTCCGACGTGGAAGCTGTGGGGGCCACCTCAACCCCCCAGATGACAGCCCCATCCGGAGACCGGACCCACACTTCCGATGCTCTTAACTCTGTTTAGCACACAGGCCGTGGACTTAATGACCCCTTCCCGAGATGCAATCTTTCATCCACGAATGTGTCTCTTGACTGCCCTGGGGCCTGTAAAAGGGCCTGCGGAGGCCCAGCACGGTCGAGATCCTCCGCCTCCAGCGTGTCCACGGCGCCGAAGGCCTGGGGCGCCTCCGACAGCCTCGGGTGGCCCCGAGCTGCTTGCCTCCTGTGGTCGACATATAGCACGTCGTTACGGGGGATGCATCGGCGATGCGATCCCGAGTGGTGAGGCTTCGAGTTGCGCGCAGTCCACGCTGGCCTCAACATGCCGCCCGAGTATCAGGCGATCGCAAACATGGGTCAAGGGGGCGTGGATTAGCGAAGGGTCCCGTTTCCATCGAGGCGGCACTTGCCGCATTTTGGGGAGGGCATCTCCCCCGGTCCATGGATTTGGCGACCGCGCGCCAAATCCATGGATCGCTAATCCATGTTTGCGCGCCCCCGAGAGTAGTCTGGGGCGGTCTCAACAACGCCGCAAGGGCGCCGCTTCCGGCGGCGCCAGGGTGTTGAGACCGCCCTGGGCTACTCGAGGGTCCTGTTGACTCCAGCCGGAACTACCCAGGGGACTGTCTGTTTGCACCTCGAAGCCTTACCAGCCGTCATATGGCATGCGGTTACGGGGGATGCATCGGCGATGCGGCATCCCGAGGGAGATCGCTCGGTGGAGAAGGGCCTCCTCTTCGATCATCCTCGACCCTGCATCCTCGGTCCTCGATCCGCCTCGATCCTCGATCCTCCTCCTCTTCCTCCTCGACCCTCCTCTTCCTCCTCCACCTCTTCCTCGATCCTTCTCGATCCTCGGTCGTCGATGCTCCCTCTTGTCGATGGTCCACGAGAGTCCGGCGTTTCGCTCGGCTCAGGTACTCTCTGCCGCCGCCCACGGCCGTGATGTGGTTGTCGCGCACCCTCGGCGTGCAGTCGGTGGTGCAGTGGCCCAAAGGCTCGGGCGCGGAAGCTCGCGCAACGCGCGAGCTCCTCCTCTCGACCTCCCTCCTTCTGTCCTTCTCTCCTCGTCCTCTTCCTCCTGCTGCTCCTCCTCCTCCTCCTCCTCCTCTCACTTCATCCTGCATCCTCCCTTCTTTCTCATCGTCCTCCTCCACTGCCTGGTTATCCCTTATTGCCCTACGCATTTCCCTCCTCGTCCCGCTCATCACCATCACCATAAACATGTTCACCTTCACCATACAGTCATCATCAGCAGCAGCAGTAACAGCAGCAGCATCCTCCTCTTCCTCCTCATCATGATCAGCAGGAGCATCATCATCGTCGTGATGACCATCAGCAGCAGCATCATCATCGTCGTCATCATCGTCATCATCGTCATCATCATCCTCATCATCAGCATCATTTTTGTCGTCATCATCATCGTCATCATCATCAGTATCGTCGCCATCATCATCGTCATCATCGTCAGCGCATTACCATAATCATCAGCATCATCAGCATCATCAGCAGTAGGTTCGTTATCGTCATCGTCATCGCCATCGTCATCATTAAGATAAGCGTCAGCATCATCGTCGTCATTATCATACCTCGCGACACGGTTCACTCCTTCCTCCCGTGTCCGTCACTCTCCTCCGCAATACTCTATGACACCCTCCTCTCGCCTTGATCATCCTCCTCCCCCATCGCTCTCTTTTCCCTGCTCCTCTCTGTTCCTTCTTCTTCTTCCTCTTCCTCTCCTTCTTTTCTTTTTCCCTCTACCGTGTGAACTTTGGGATGGGGGTAGAATTTTTTTGATTTTCAGATGGGCGTCGCGGGGGCAGATGGTTGGTGTGCTTGCAGTGGGGCACGTTTACGTGTTCAACATTTGGGTCACATAGGTTTCATTGTCTGCGTCATGATGCCAGTACCCATGTCGGTAATCTTCAGGATGTTGATTTCAACCATCCACATCCTCATCATCAGCATCATCATCACCATCATCTTCATCATCATAACCTCCAGCATCATCATCATCAGTAGCATCATCATCATCATCATCATCATCATCATCATCATCATCATCATCATCATCATCATCATCATGACGAGTTCTTCCATCCCCCTGGACTCCTAGCGACGACGAGCTGCTCTGGCGGGGCGGACGTGTCGGAGCTTTGTATGATTATTATCGGGTTGCTGAATCCGGGTAAGTTCAGCCCCTATCATTGAAATATGGTGGGTCAAGTTCCGCCCCGAATGCCATTGCTAAGCAATGCAAACCAGTGCCAAGCAATGCCACTCACCGCCAAGTA